CCAAGGCTCAACTACATGGTCTTTTCCATGGGGTCTTTCCTGACATCCCAGTCAGACATGATGTCTGTCTTTAAGTTTTACTTGTCCTTGCTCGTCCTAAAATTGCTTGTCCTTGCTGCCTATCTTACAGTTATTTGCATAACTCTATTATCTCCTCTAGTACAATGCAAATTCTGTTCCCCCAAACACTTAACGCATAGTATAGGAGAGCAGTGACAAAGGCTGAATGTTTCAACATAATGAAGAAATTGTACATGGGCAATGATGTAGATAATGCTCTTAGAGCATCAGATACCTTAAGGAACTTCGGAGAAGTTGGAGAAGTGCTGGATAGCATTCCATTTGCAGTGAATTTCTCCTCTCTGTTGCTAATGAAAAACAATGCAGTCATTTCTGGGTTCCAGATTTAGGGAGTCTGAAAACAAATTGACGTATACCATTCTTTAAAGCTGTCACAAAGCTAGCTGCTACATGAGTTTGGGAATAGAACTTGTGAATGCATTCAAAAGTCTTCATCCAGGAAATTTCCTAACATACCTGGAGAGTTCCAGGCAGCTAAATTCCGTCTGTTCTCTTTATTTCTTTCTTATACCTTTTTAAGCAAATTGGTTTATTTTTTTTTATTAAAATCTTAGTAATCTTTTAATGCCCCTGGGAACTATCTCATACATATAAAGTATGTTTCCTTTTAGATGGTTTCTTTTTTCCTTCTCCAGAAAACCCCAGTCAAGTGTATCGTTTCCCTATTGATACCAGTCTTGCTCCATTTCTTCTTTTTTAATCTTGTTGCTTTCTGGACATAAATGAACTTCACTGTTAACTTAGCAGTTGAGTGCATGTCTGGAATACTGATTAATAGCTGCAAAGCATTCTATGTGCCATATTGTAGCATATGCCCTAATGCCACTAGCAGCGCATGTATCTAGACGGCTGCCAGTTCACCTGGTCAAATGGTAGTTTGCCTTTCCTGTATTATGATACATGCATCATTGTTTAAGACACCTGAATGCCTGTGGCCAGTTTTTCCTTTCCAACCCACAACTGCTGTGCTTCCTTGTGGGCTTCATAGACAATGGAAGAATAAGCATTTTTCTTAATGCTTTCGATCTCCATCTCAGTCTCTTGCTCATGCTCTCTAGTCTCTGCTCGCTTTTGCCCCCAGGCTCTTTCTGTCCTAAGTTATTATTGTTTATTTAAAGAATGTGATTCTCATCTTCTCTCCATTAACTGCAAATGCTTTTCAGAAGTCAGTGAGCATGTAGTATTTAGGGATAGCAAACTCTTCCATTTGATGGTGTTGGGTCCCCCAATAATGGGTCCGCGATTAAAGGAGCAAGACTCATACAAAGCGAAAGTCAAGCAAAACTTTATTTCGTGCTAGCATCAAGAATCAAACCGACCGTCAAATAGACCGGTCGGGGCCGCCCCTTACAGAGAAGACGACCTTTCTCTGTTTCACAGACTAGCTTTTATGGAGCAAAGGCCACGTGGTTGGGCCTGGCCACGCACAGGTGGCCAATGAAATTGTAACACACAGAGAAAGCTGCACAGTCATGCTAGGTGACCAATTGAATTACAATTTACCCTAGTAAACATTTGAACCAGCCTTTCACCTTGGTCAGAATTGGTGCCCAAAAGGTGCCCAAAGGGCGGGGCCCATACTCCTTGGTAGCTAGGAGACAGTATGCATCCCCACTGATTGAATACCTCCACCTGGCCTGACTCACCCTTTTTACTTGGACTTTGTTACCTCCGACTGGTTTCCGGGACTTGTTTTTAAGTAAGTTCCCCGGGGCAAGAGTGGGGGGTGGGGAGGGTAGAGTCAATTTAAGTTTTACAACAAAATGGCAGTTCAACCGGGGTGGGGCTGCTCTGGCTGAATAGGCCCTTACAATGGAAATAGAGTGTTGGGGAGGTGGGACTTGACTGGAGAGGATTTTTTTTTTTTTTAAAGATTTTATTTATTTATTTGACAGAGATCACAAATAGAGAGGCAGGCAGAGAGAGAGAGACAGAGGAGGAAGCAGGCTCCCTGCCGAGCAGAGAGCCTGATGTGGGGCTCGATCACAGGACCCTGGGATCATGACCTGAGCTGAAGGCAGAGGCTTTAACCCACTGAGCCACCCAGGTGCCCCAACTGGAGAGGATTTTTAGGTTTGGGTTCTGAGGGACCCTGGGGCGTCATGCTAGTGCCATTGGATTTTGTCCTGCAAGTGAAGTGGAGGCCATTTGTGTCCTATTGTATCCTATTTGTATCTGTTTTCTAGCAGAGCAGGAAAGTCTTCTAAAGGGGATCATGGGGCTCAATATGGAGACTGAGAATCAGTTATAATGTTCTTACAATCATCTAGGTCAGTGTTTTCTCACTCCAGAAGAAAACATGTTTGACATTGTGACTTTGGAAAAAACAAGGCTTACTTCGTGGGGTGCATTCAGTATTCCGTGTCCTATTCTATTCTAATTTCATTGAAAAATGCTAGCCCGAACAATCTAAGTTAGTTTCAGATCCTGCTAATTGTACATAACCTGCAACTTGAAAATCACTTATTTAAACAAATGATAATGAAGCCCTAGATGAAGGTAATGTCATCTAACAGAGAAGGTGCAACTGGGAGTAATTAGGAAAAGAGAGGGGAAGATGACTTCGTGATTTATTGGATTTAGGCACATGGAAGAGCCAAGAATGACTGAAGTTCTCTTGTTGAGAGACGGGGTAGGTGATGGTACTCCAAATTGAGATTTTGATAGAGTTAAAAAAAAAAGCAGTCTTGGGGTAAAAAATTAAGTTCAGTTTTGAATATACTAGGTTTGTGATTTCTATGGGAAAATTATAGTTAGGGAAAGATGTAAGGATGAGAGATATAGTTTAGGAATCAGCATGTGGGTGATAATTAAAGCAGCGGGAGAGACTGAAATAATTGAGAGTTTGCATATCATGAAAAGAGAAAACACTGAGAGTGAACTGTGGATAAAGCCAGCATTGAAATGGGAGGTTAGGGAAGAGGACGCAGTGAAGGTAACTGAGAATTAATAATCAAAGGGCCAACTAGGGAGTGAAGAGATAATGTAGCTTCAGGAAAAAGAGCAGTCAGCTGTATCATGTACCGCAGACGTAGCGGGTAGAATCCAAATTCCTCATCTAAGAGGCCCTGGGTAGCCATTGTCTGGACTTCCAGTAGAGTGGTAGGATGGGAAGAATGACTGCAGTGGGTTGAGGAAAAGCAGTTAGATTGTATTGCAGACAAATCTCAAAGGTCAGCTTTAAACTGAATGAGTAGAGCTGGTAGTACGTAGGCTGGGTATCAGTTAAGCCAAGAATATCTTACGCAACTCAACTTTGTGTCCAGAGGACACAGATGCCGTAGAGACAGAATAAACATAAATGCATATTAGGAAAATGAGGAGAGAGCTATGTGGACTGGTGTAAGTGTAACTGCAGTCTGGTGTTCTTAGTCTCTCCATCCTCTTTTTGGCAGTGTCTTTTTTGCTTTCCAAAATCCAGATCCTTGAGGAACTAGCTGGATTGGCTCTGTAAATACCACTATCTCCCTGAGTCTGCAAGCCAGGTTGCCTCCCCAGCCTTGGCTCAGTGCTGTGGATGCCTTAGTGTGCCCTTTGTCCCATGGGTAGCCAGGATGTACACAAAACCGGTGTAACATATTTTACTTGCCCAATAAAATGTAACTTTTACACAGTTTGCCACAAAGCACCAAATTAGATTTGGACAGTGCTTAAAGCATTTCACTTAAACGTTCTCCATTTAATTAATAGAGCACTTACAGTTTGATCTCCTGGGAGAATCATTCTAAGTGGGCCCTTTCTTTTCTTCACGGTAACGTTTCATCGTTGAGTGTCTTATATCCACACATGCGTGCATACATGTGTGCGTGTGGACATACTTATATGGATAGAATTAACCAAGTTGATAGGCAACCATAAGTCAGTTCTTAGAGTTTAAACGTGATACAGATTCAGTTATCACTGGGTGTTTGAACAGTGGATTATGTAAGGACCTGAGTTTTCATTGCTCTACGTCATCTCTTCCATTTTCCTGTATTGTGCTATTTCAGGAGAATTTTTATGTAGTGAGGAAAAGACAGTGGTGTTCATAAATCTTTGAGGCTGCTTACAAGCCTGGTTATCTATTTTGAAGTAATTACTACTTCTTGAAAGCTTCTGTCTTGAAGTCATTTGTACAAAGTAAAATTAATTCATCACCTATTCTTCTTCTGAATCTTATCACAGAAGTTTAAAAATTCTTTCCTGGAAAATTCTTACTGCCCAAGTAAGTTTATTTGAGGAAATAAATGATCACCTAAAACACACCTCTTTCTTTCTAAGGGACTTAGTAATTGCTGTCCTTTCATGTTATATTTCCACTGCTATAGCTTAGCACACTTGGATTCTTGTGTGGAGTACCGGCATAAATCAGAATATCTTCTAGAGTCAGACTACATAGAGCTACCAGTGATAAGGAAAAAAGGCAGCACTGATTACAAAGGAATAATAATGAGAAGGCTGGCTGGGTGAAGGAGCAGCGGCAGAATGTGAAGTAATTTCTAAGGGTGTTGCAGATCAGAAAATAAACAAATGAGATAAGTGGGAGTGGGCCTCACAAGGTTTGAAGCTAGGGAACCAAAAGCTGGAGCTGGCATGCTCTTCCACGGGAGGCTTCGTGGAACAGCTGAGTGGGAAATGTCCACCAGGCAAAGACCTAGGCAATGCTTTATATGGGGATGAAAAAGTTCAGAGTAAAAAGGAAGGAAAGAAGGGGCAAATCAGGGCATGATGTAGGATAATCGTGTGTGTAGTCATGCAGGCTTTTCTGCGTTTATTAATGCAAACACCTTATTAAATAAACTGAGAAGTAACGTCTTCACTACTCATTCTCTTTGGCTAAATTTTAAGTATCCAATGGCATTTCTGAGGGGGTTTTAAGTGCTTTCTTGAGTGTTTTGTCTTTTAAAAAAAATGTCTTACGTTTCTTTTTTGTGTTTTAGCTATGAAGATGGCCAAGTTGGAGATGCGAATATTAACACACAAGAAGGAGGCATTCACAAAGAGATCCTTCGAGTAATTGGTAATCAAACTGCTACTGGTTAAAGGACCACCATTTAATTAACATGATTTGAAAGCCTTCCTCGGGTTCAAAGCTGGATTTTGAACTGAAGAAGATGATAAAATAATTTATTGTTATTATAAACAAAAGTAACCCTTTGAATACTGATTTTTTTCTTAGTATTTCTAAGTATCTCATTAAATACCTAAAATGGTATAAAATTTATCAATTGTAGGGTTATGGAATCTAGTAATAAAATTGCAACAGCACTTAAACTGAAGTTTGGGTTGCTCACACAATAAACAGATTGAAAAAAACAGTTCTGTGCTGATATTTTTATATTAAACTCTTCAATTGGAAATTTGTTATTATATACCAACATTTTAGGTTACCAAAATAGAACTGAGAACATTTTATAAAGACATCTAAATCTATACAGTACTTTGCAATAAGTTTGTTTGCACATTCTCATGTGCTATTTACTTAGTGGTATGAACACTCAGATGTTTTGGGGAGGGATGTTTCCTATTCTCTTGTTATTTTTTTCTCGTACAAAGACAATTAGGTCTTAGATGCAGAGCTTTGCCCAAGAGTATGTAATGTACATATTTATAGACCGATGCATCCAAATGTGTGATCGAGCAGAGACGGCACGGCTCCCCGATTCTATGCTCATTTAATAGGAAGAAAATAATATTCAGTAAGCAGTAAATCAGGACATAAACCAAGATATGAGTCAAATTTACCACCATTCATTCACTGAAGATGTTTAGAAACAATTTTTTTATTTGTTTAAATAATTTCCACTTCAGTTAAAATTCAACTCTTTTATAATGTTATCTAATAGTTATAATTTGGGGAACACAGATGCCCCAGGTGGATTAACTCTATATTCAAATGATTATATACATAAAAGAAAGGCCTCAGAATTTAAACAAACAGTATATATTTTTTATTTCCTATGGTGGAACATTTTTAAAATTTATTCAGCACTTTTTATATTTTTTCATCTAATACCTCTGCTTATTTTTTTTTCTTATTGAGAAAGAAGACAAACTTTGAGGTTTCTTTTATATTAAAAGAACACAAATAAGTTTATAGAGAATAACACCAGCTCTTAGCATTGTTCCTTTCAAGAGTCACGTGCTCATCAAAATCATTTCTCTTTCTTTGGGTCCTAGAGTTACTCATTGTAAGTTTTAGACAGTGTTTATTTTCCTCCATGGTGTCTTTGGAATAAGGCCATTCATGAGAGCAGTTTAATTAGCAAGTCTGCCACTCTAGTCAGACCCTGAATCAAGGCTCATATCTGATTCTAATTTATTTGGAAAGAAAAAATAAATAAAAATGTTTAGTCATTTGCAAGTATAATGTCATAACTTCTGTGTTTATTTCCTTTGGCATTAAAGGTGAGCAAAAAGGTCATACTCGTTGTTAAGGGTTGCTATCTAAGAAGTTTTTACTAATTATTTGTTTTCTTATATTGTAAATAATTGATATGCCGCTTATTTCTGCAAAAAATAGACTTGAAGTGGTTGGGATATTAATCATTGTGATAGGATCCACTTAAAACATTGATCTGTTCTGACTTGTGCCTCTGAACTCAAAGCCAGACTGAGGGATTGTATCGGCATGATAGGGCCAAGCTACATCTTCCTTAGTGTTCTGTGACTAGATACTTAAAGACTTTACATGGGACACGAGGACGACTAGCTTTTTTTCTGTCAAGATTCCCCAAGTCTTCCAAATCCCTTTGACTGGGTTTTTAAAACCATTTTAAGGGACAAAATTATAAATTAATTTTGTGGCACATTCTTCTGAATCTTATATAACATCACTGTGAAGATGTACTAGTCAGATTTAGAAATTGAGTTCTTGGAGGCCCACCTGTGTGGCCACTAACACCACCGAGGCATCTCCAGAAACTCTCTCTAGTGCCTCCACATGTAGTTTTAAGACCACAGACCTAATCATTCCGGTTGGACTTCGCAGTTGAGTGAGCTCTAAAGAGTGAAGTATTAGCACCTGAATTGGAAGGGTAACTTGGAGGACTCAGGGGAGAGTATCTCAGGGAGGAAAAACTGGCATAACGCAAACTTCTACTGCTAGTTCAAGAATAAAAAAGTGGATTCACCTGTTAGGGCAAGGAAAGTAGTTGTTAGTTTTCATGCTTACTAAATATTACAGACAATGGACATCTTTTATGATAATAAAATCCGATGTCTCCTAATGGTAATTCATTGAATGCTATTGCAGTGCAGAATGTTAGGTTGGAAGTTTGTTTTGAAAAACTAAGTTCAGAACCTTTGTAAACAAATAGTCTAAGTATTAGAGCAAGTCTTTTAATTGAATTTATGGTATTGGGGTAACTATAGCATCCTGATACTTATCTTTATTTTTAAGGAATCTAATTTCAATATCTATCATTAGTAAGTGAATATCATGCTTCCAAGATCCAAGGAGGTCTTTAAATGTAGAAGTCTGAACATCATCACGCCTTGATCCAGTTACCCCAGTAAGATGCTGCCTGTTGACATATCTGATGGTTCCAAACACGTGACATTGTATTGTGTTTATATGATATCTGAAGTCTGTTCACTGATGTTTTGTTGTAGTTATGTTAATTGTGTAGCCATTACTACATAATATGAACCTACTGAGCAAAGGTAATCCTTTATTTTCATTCTTGAAGTACCGGAAGAAGAACCTTAATTTCTTTCTGCTTTTTCCTGCATTACTCATTTTGTAAACATTTCACTATGAGTAATTTGTCCTTTTTCACTGTCCACTGTATTAAAAAGAGAAGAAAATGATTGGACGTTCACAAAGAGAAAAAAGTGATAATATACTTATAACCTAGTGCTCCACAACACTTTATGGAAAGGCATTTTTGGTGCCTTAGATTCCATCATGTTGAAATGATTTTTATTTTTATTTTTTTGCTCAGCAAATCCCAGTCAAATGTTGAGTGTGAAGGTGGTTTTCAATTTAAAATTTGAATGAGAGCCACATCCTTAAACTTAGTATCAAATATGCGATGTAAGAAACCACCCCCAAAACTATTGTTAATGTTCTGAATATCTCTCACTGAAAAACTTGAGAGTTTAGAAAAGACAACTCTCAGTTTTTCTCCACTTTGCTAAAAGAAAGGAAACTTTTAATATGCAAGTCTATGAATTTTTGATATCATTGAAAGAATTTTAGCAGTACCTTATACCATAATACCATAACTTGCCAGAGGCCATGGCGTTTGAGAAAGTTTTAAGGAAGAACTCATCATCCTTGTTAATGTCTGGATGCCTTTATCAGATAGTAATTTAATATGTCATGAAGGGCCACTCAGCCTTGGACTGCCTACCGCTTAAGTATGTGGATTTCATAGTAACACTTGAAGCACATTGTAAAAATATTAGGATGTTTTTTGATTGCTCTGCTGAATTCTTCATTATAACACTACCTCAAGACAAATGATAGACTGTTTGTTAAGGTAAATTGGTTTCCAGTTGAAGGAACAATAAAATTTTGCAAATGGAAGTTAATTCAAATAATTCAGCAAGACCGTGCTGGATGTAGATACTATCAATTACCTCTTCACACTGCAGAAATAAGAATATTTCACTCACTGGTGATGAATGATACAGCTAAGACCCAGTGAGTTATGTGAAGGGGTTTCAAGGCAAAATTTGAATATAACTAGTTCCCTTCAAGATTGGTTTTCTCCATGGGCCAATTTGATGTCCATTCGCCTAAGTCACAAACAATTGCCCATTTTACAGTTAAAGGATTAAAATCCTCAACTGCTTTGCCAGAATGGCAGACTGAATATTCAGTTATTTTGGCATTGAATGCCTGCTAAATTTTTGTCAGATTATATATAAATTTGATGTATATTACTGTCCAGTCAATTTTCCTGGAGATTTTGTATACACTATGATATATTAGGATAGGTTTTTGTAGGTTAAAAGAATTTCAAGTAGTTTTTAGACAAAACATATCCATGAGTGTGAAAAAGCTGTGTTGAAGAATAGATTACATTACACATTTACCAGCAAGTCAGTAAAAAAAATAGTGCTTATTTACATAGTCAACATAATTAATGTTCTAAAAATACTTTCTTCAATCTACCCAATATTTAATGTATCATTTGAGATTTTAAAAAATGCAGCCACTCCTTTATGTAAACATTAAGAGATGCCTATGTTTCTTTAACTATCCAGCCTTCTTTATAATAAATTTCTTGACTTTTGTGCACAAAATAGTATTGCAACCTGCTATTTAGCCTTTGGTGCCTTAGAGTTATTATAAATATTTAACAATATGTACATAATGTAAATACTGCCAAGAGATCACTAAGGCCAAATATTTTCTCTATTCACTTTTTATTGCACTTGCTTTCTACTGCTACTTAAGCCTCTTTTATCCAGCTTTGTAATAGTTCTAACATTGTAGCCAATGTAAATGTTTACTTTCAATAAATCTGAATTTGTTCAACAAGTACGGTATATGTGGGCACTATTTTGAAAACCCGGATAGGCCTTAGATATTCCTGATGATGAGTCTTGCTTCTGGGGACTAGATATTTGAAATTTTCAACAAACTCTAAAAACAATGTTGCCTTTTTCACTTATAAAATACTTTTAAAATAAGAGGAAGTAAGAAAAAAAAAAACAACAACCTTCTTGCCAGTATTCCCCCCACATACTTGTGACAGATTTAACTAGCCATGTTGAGTACCATTTTTACCTCATATTCTGTCAAGAAGTACAGGACTGAAACAAAATTTTAATATATTTTGTAGGTGTGCTCTATAAACACTTAGGCATAATATCAAAAGGAGCATTTGAAAGGAACCATCTTGAATTTTCTAAGCATTTTGGACTTCATTAGTGATTGGAAAATGATTCTTAAACTACTACTTTTAATAACAGACATTTCAGTAACTAAGACATTAGTCTGTAACCACAAATTTGTTTTTCTTAACACTTGAATGGTAAATATGAGGAACTAAGTTCAGGTTTCTACAAGAAATAACATTCTTTACTCACGTTACATTTACAGTTGAGAAACCATAGATAACAAACTTCTGTTTATCAGACTTGATTTCATTTACTCTAGAAATACTTGTTAAGAGTCTGATGTGCGTATTTGCAGTCATAGTATCTTTATAAGGAATAGAGATTTTGTGTCGGCCTTAAGGAACCTTCAGTCTATTTGGGACAGCAAAATATGTTTGGAAATAACTCATGAATTGCGCGAAAACAGCAATGTTGAATGGAAAAGACCAAAATGCAAGCAACGCTTAGGAAGAGAGCAGATGAGCTTATATCATAGCTATGGGGGAAATACCATGGAAGATCCCTGGTGTTAGCTGGACCCTCAGTATCCCACAGACCTTCCCCAAACCTAGGACAGGGCCTTTAAAACAAAGGAGAGGAAAGTTGGCATATGAAGGAAAGTAGACTTACAGATGCAAAGGTCTTGAGTGAACTCACACAAACTCATAAATACTTTTGAATTCATTGAACTACAATCTGCAATTCAAATGACATTTTGAATCTTTAAATTAGTGTTAATGAGTAGCATGTTACTAATTTCCATTTACTTAATTGCCAGATACTTTTTGTAATCTTTTTGCAACAAAGTTATAATGGTTTACTTGTATATCTGTTTCTGCTTTGTTGTAGGTAATACATATACTAGAAAGCACTTAATTCTTTGAATGTTTAGCGTTTTATTCCTCAACCAAATTTTTGATGATATCTTTGTGACTTCGTGGCTCAGTCTTACACACTTCCGGAACTGCCATTCCCTTTACACTTAGACTGCATTCCTCATCACAGGAATATAGTTGGCAAGAGAGTAGTCCTACATCCTAGGTCAACTTAAAACCCTTTTAAGCCTGCCCTTTTGGAAAACCAGTGTTGAAAATCCCCAAGAAGTTCCTGAGTATTTATTTGACCTTTATTTCTGTTCCCAACCTCCAAGTCCCTCTTTTTTAATTATTTCAAAGAGTAGTGACTTCTAACTTGTATCTAGGAACACTGAAAATTTCCAAGCTATCAAACATATACATTGTTTAAAAATCATGTATTCTTGAATTTCAGATAAGAGAAATTTTGATTACATAGGATTTGCTTTATCTAAAACTGTAATTTAGGAAGAACATAGAACTGTAATTTCTATGTTCACATAGAATAAGTCTATGAAAGGTGCTAGCAGATTTCTTTATCTTATAGATAAGAAATTAAATAGCTTGTCAAAAGAGTCACTAGGCTCCAAACCTAGGGCCAGAGTTTCTGAATCTCTGAAAATCCATGTTTATTATTGCTGAGATCCGAGCTCTGCAAAA